GACGGAGACCAGATCAGCTGAAGATCTTCGTCAAACACATGCACAATTTCTTGTCCCAACAAGGCCTCGAGTATTCAATAGTCATTGTGAATCAAGCCGACGAAGAATTGTTCAACAGAGGGGCTTTACTTAATGTCGGATTCTTGGAGGTAAACATATTTCGTGATAACAAACTAAATTATTTAAGGTATTCAGGCTTTTAATCTCGTTTTTGTTTACTTAAAAGAGCTTATTACTTGAAGAATGGAATAAAAACTCGAGAATGTGGATATTTGAAGTTCATCATGGTTTGATAATGAAGATAGACGTCGATGTTCCGTGTGTAATTTCTAAGCGTTTCTCATGTTAATTTGTTTCATAATTTTTTTTTAATTCAGCAACATTTTGAGCCTACGATTTTATTCAATCACTTCTTGCCAATAACTTGTGGAGTACTATGAACTAAGTAATGCAGGCATTTCACCTAATGTACGTGTCATGAAAAAGTTAAGTGTTTGTTCACCGAGTTCATGAATTACAGTGAAATCTCGTTACAATGAAGCCATTGGGACTGGTATAATAGCTTTGTTCTAACGGAAAATTCGTTGTAAGCAAACTCAAAAAGCTGAGTCCCAGTCCAGCGTAGCGTCAGACTGGGACATGTTAGTTATAGCCAAGTTGGTTCTCTTTACATTAATATGGCCAGTCTTCATGCATACTCCAAGTAGCCACAAACATCACTCTTCAGAAGTACTGACGTGTTTGCAAAAAACCATTCTCCAGAGAAGGTACAGGGTTGCTTAGTAGGTGGGTTTCACATGAAGAGAACCAACATGGCTATAACTAACATGTACTTGGAGTACGGATGATGACTGGTTGTATTCACAGAAAGAAAACCAACTGCAATGTTGGCTAACATTGCAGCTATTGGACAGGGACTTGAAAAAAAATTTGTTGTAATCAATTATTTTGTTCAAACAAGATTCTACTGTACTATTTGAAATACAGTTGAACTTCTCTAAGTCGAACTTCAAGGGACCAGCAAAAAAATTCGACTTAAGGAGGTTTTGAATTTATCTACAATAAAAAGCCCTTTTGTGTTGGGAAACATAAAAATTGCTCAAAATTGTAAATTGTAGTCTTCTGAGGCTGAAATTACCTCTTACATGGGTTGAAAGCATCTTGAACTTGGAGGCAGGGTTCATTTGCCCAATCAAGTCTCTCACCTCATTTTAAAACAAATCAATTTATGTTTTATTGAATTTTTTCTTGCCTGTGTCAAGAAAATAAAAGCCAACATACCACAGAAAATTTGACTTATGGAGGTTTGAGGGAAAAAGCCTTTGACTTGGGGAGGTTTTAAATGCATTAGTTCTAAAAAAAATCGACTTAGGGAGGGTTTTTGACTTAGGGATGGTTTTTGACTTAGGGATGTTTGAGTTATCGAGGCTCACCTGTACCGTACAGTTACCGTATGTACCGTACTTTAGTTTGTGGATGCTTCGAAATTATTAAAAGCATGCATGATTTTGTATTTCTTCGATTCACTCAAATTTTAACTTGTTCGATTCCGTAATCTAGATTTCTCAAGAAAGACTCGTTTTATATTTGTGTTTACTATGAACGAATTGATCGAAGTGTTGGTCTGCTTAGACGTACGGGAACTTTTGAACTACTGTAAAAGATTCGTTCCCAAAAGTCCAAAACTGAAAAACAAAATTGCTCGCGGATAAAAATTGAATAAATTTTGAAAACCGGAGATCATTCAACTGACGATAACATTAATTGCGCAAACTTGAGTGATTCCATATTTAAAATCTAAATGTTGAGATTTTGAACTATTGTAGATAGTTGTACAGTAATTAGATTAATTTCACTTTTGGGGATAGGTTCAAACAGTTTTTTG